ATTGTAATAAAAAATAATTAAATAATAGATACAATATTTTTAAATAAATATAATGTTATAATTTATAATACTAAAATTAAAATTATTATTGTATTTAATTATTATCATATAAAATAAATAAAAATTATAATAATTATAATAATAAATAAATTACATCAATGTCTCTTAATAAGAAACTAATAAAAAAGACAAATGAATATAATATAAAATATATGAAAAAGACATAAAAATATATAAATTGATGTAAATGACTAAATTATAAGTTTGATAAATTTTTTTTAAAAGAATTATATAACTTTATAAATAATAAATATTAATTTTATTAAATTTGGAAAATTAAAAAAGTTAAAAAGTCAAAATTTTAACATGTTCACACCAATTAAAAATAATGTAATTTTGATCACAAATCTTAATCGAATGATATTGATTTAAACCAGTGACAAAATAGATTACCATCTATAAATAAATTCGTTAGTCCATCAAAATTTTACAAATTAAATTAAATTTTTTAACTTTTAAACCTATTTTATGTGGATATCTCTAAATCGTCAAATTTACAAACCAAAATTAAGAAACCAAAATTAAGATGAAAAAAATTATCAAAACAAAATTTGGAAATTAAGGAATAATTGTATAAAAGCATTATTATTAAACTAATTAATATAGAAACAGCTATGAAGTAGAAAATTAATTTTATTGGTAAAAAAATATAATTACACATGAATCAATTATGGTTATAAGTTATTACTAACAAAAATAAAATGAAAGCTAGATAAAAAATACAAATGATTTGTGATTACTTGTATGATGATATTATGTTTCTGGACGTTAAATTTTATAAAAAGGAAAGCCCATGGACTGGCCCTGGCCTATAAGGCTTTAGGAGTTTTTAGTCCTATGTTTTAATAAAGAGTTTTTTTGACCCTGTGGGCTTGTTTGGCCCCAATCCACATGGGTTAGGGTCAAATCTTATTAAAAGAACTCATTTCACAGCTCTAATCCTTACTGAGAAAAGTTGCTAAATGTATTCCTCTTTTTCATCCTTACAAAGAGAACACATTCCTTGTACATCTTTATCAATTGAAGCCTACTGAGAAGAAATTTTATTAAAACAAGCATTTTTGTAGAGAGTAATAGAAACATATATTTTATCAATAATTTCCAACGACATAGACAAAAATTCTATTTATTTGAAAATCGTCAAAAATTCAATTAGAAATATCTTTAAAGGGAGTCATTTGAAGATTGTGTGTATGGATTGCAACTCATAAATTTCATTTAAAAAAAAAGATAAAATTTAAACAGAATTAGCCTAAGAAAAACAAAGACACAAAAATACATTATTATCAACACTCCAATAAGTATTTGGAAAGTGATATCATAAAAATCTCTTATTCAATAGAACAATCCTGAAAAATAAGATAGCTTATGTAAAAAGTTTAATTTTTCTAATTATGATAGCTTATGTACTGTTTTTAAAACCATGTTTTTAAGCGGTTATTTGAATGTAGAAAACAATAACTTTCCATTTATTTTTATAAGTGTATAAGTCTGGAAGAATATTTTTATTCTTATATTTATTTATTTACCGATATACAGAAATGAAAATATGCTGATAGATAATCAGCAGTTTTCATATCACAGAAGAGATATTAGAGAGGCAGGAGTGTCCATACATGAAAGGGATCTGTTCACTTGACCCTTCTCTTCCGAAGCTTCTTCTCTTACGTTCTGTGCTCTCGTAAAACCAGTAACATCTTTTTCAAACCGTGTTTCCATCAGAATCACCATTTCCCCTGCGAGAAGCTTCTCCTTACACCTCCCTCTTTGCAATTTTCCAGAAGTGGTTTTGGGAACACACTCACTCTTAACCAAAACCACCCATCCAATCTCTACCTTCTCCTTCTTCCAGACACCTGCCTTAATTTTCTCACACACCCACTTCAACACAACCACATCCACATCCTTTTCGAACCTCTGCATCTCTGCCACAACCACCACCATTGCTGAAACTTTAAACGCTGCAACGCAGCCTCCTCTGAGTAACTTGGAGCAAATATTATACGCCGCAGTCTCTATATAATGTGGATGAACCTTTTCACCGTTTTCGAGTTCCATCACATCTTGACAGCGACCAGTAACAAAGAGGTATCTCTTTTCTCCTTTCACGATGCCTTTGTCCCCGGTTCGAAGAAAGCACTTACTAACCATGTTTCTCAGTCTTCCATGAAACACCTCTCTTGTTAAGCTAGGGTGGCCAAGGTACCCAGAAGCATTGCTTGGTGAAGCAACCCAAATTTCTCCTTCGACGCCATCCTCACTCGGCTCCAAGGTTTCTTCGTTTACGACCNCAATCCTGAAAAATAAGATAGCTTATGTAAAAAGTTTAATTTTTCTAATTATGATAGCTTATGTACTGTTTTTAAAACCATGTTTTTAAGCGGTTATTTGAATGTAGAAAACAATAACTTTCCATTTATTTTTATAAGTGTATAAGTCTGGAAGAATATTTTTATTCTTATATTTATTTATTTACCGATATACAGAAATGAAAATATGCTGATAGATAATCAGCAGTTTTCATATCACAGAAGAGATATTAGAGAGGCAGGAGTGTCCATACATGAAAGGGATCTGTTCACTTGACCCTTCTCTTCCGAAGCTTCTTCTCTTACGTTCTGTGCTCTCGTAAAACCAGTAACATCTTTTTCAAACCGTGTTTCCATCAGAATCACCATTTCCCCTGCGAGAAGCTTCTCCTTACACCTCCCTCTTTGCAATTTTCCAGAAGTGGTTTTGGGAACACACTCACTCTTAACCAAAACCACCCATCCAATCTCTACCTTCTCCTTCTTCCAGACACCTGCCTTAATTTTCTCACACACCCACTTCAACACAACCACATCCACATCCTTTTCGAACCTCTGCATCTCTGCCACAACCACCACCATTGCTGAAACTTTAAACGCTGCAACGCAGCCTCCTCTGAGTAACTTGGAGCAAATATTATACGCCGCAGTCTCTATATAATGTGGATGAACCTTTTCACCGTTTTCGAGTTCCATCACATCTTGACAGCGACCAGTAACAAAGAGGTATCTCTTTTCTCCTTTCACGATGCCTTTGTCCCCGGTTCGAAGAAAGCACTTACTAACCATGTTTCTCAGTCTTCCATGAAACACCTCTCTTGTTAAGCTAGGGTGGCCAAGGTACCCAGAAGCATTGCTTGGTGAAGCAACCCAAATTTCTCCTTCGACTCCATCCTCACTCGGCTCCAAGGTTTCTTCGTTTACGACCATAATCTCCACGTCTTCCTGCTCCATGTTTCCGAGCCTTGCAACCGGTAACAGTTTGTTGTGAGTTGGGAAATCTGGGAAGCTGGAACCATAAGCACCAATATTGTCACTGTGGCAGTTCCTCCACGCAGTGGACACAAAGGTACAGTTCTCTGCTAACCCGTAGGAAGGAGAGATAGAAGAAGGGCTTAACCCGAATGGTGAAAAAGTATGAACGAATTCTTCCACAGAGTCTCTATAGATAGGTTCATTGATGATTATAAGGTTCTTCAAGGTTGACAGGTTGATGGGTAAAGCGCTTTGGTTAATCCCTCCACGCTTGATGACTAGTGGCAATGTGAACGAGGGAACGGGAGTGCAAGTGGCCTTGAATTCGGACAAGAGTTCAAGCCAGAGTCTGGGGCGTTTGATGAACGCGTTTGGGGACGTGAGAACACACGTGGCACCGGAGACAACGGTCAGCAACAGAAACATGAGGCCACAATCATGATACTGTGGCAGCCACGAAACGATGGTGCTGTTTGGATGAAGATCGTAAGATTTTCTGGCAGTTCTAACGTTGTGAGCAGCTGAGCCAGCAGTGACAAGCACGGGTTTTGGGACACCAGTGGCTCCAGAAGTGTACTGAACCAAATAAACTTCATCTGCTGCACAACCACTGTATGTTAGGGAATCACGGTTGTTTACAGTAACGACGGCTTTGCCGTGTTTGACATGGTCAATGGAAATCCAGTGGATGGTTTGCAGCATGTGAGCTAGCTTGGTGTTGTTGTGGGGAGAAGAGAGGTAGCGTCGAATGCTTGAAATGTAGTGAGAGTGAGCTATGGCAGCTTTGGGTTTGGTCTGAGAAATGGCTCTTACGAGGTGGTGGTAGTTTTGATTGGAGAAAGAAGGGTGAGGAGGGACTATAGGTACGCTCAAGAGACCAGCTCTTTGGCAGCCGAAAATGAGCTCAACTAGGTCAAGTCCTGGAGAGCAGAGAAGAAGTACAGTGTCTCCTCTTTGCAATGAACCCTGCAGCTGTGATGAGATGAGATGAACAGTGTCGTTGAGTTGTTGGTAGGTGAGGGTAGTGGTGGTGTGAAAGTCTTGAGCCCAAATGAAAGCTGGTTTCGAGTGGAAAGCTGGTAACCTTGCCCAAACAGGAAGGTATAAGTCAACCACAGGTTGGTCGGGGAAGGAGGGGTCATAATTCTCGTATTCGTATGACATTTTTAGTTTGTCTGTTGTGCTGCTTGCCAAAACTAGTGGCATGATCGCTTGCATATTTATAGTTATAGTAATAGTGTTAATCTAGATACGTGTTGAAGCTCATGATCCAGTCTCTGATATTCCAATGGGATGATTACGATAACTAGAGGGAATAAGGGGATATGCGGTTAGAATATCTCACTGTCCCCTCAGCTGTAATAGCAAAAATCGTCGCCATGTAGTTGTTTGGTATGTGTATTCCGAATTGCAACGCCGTCCTGTAAAAAAAACGTTTATATATTGTAGGCGATTGTCTCTGCAGCTGTCTGATAGTACATGTTCATGTCTTGTCCTACGTGTTCTCTCCTTACCTTCGTAAATAATTAAAAGTTATTAAACGCGGACTTTTTTTCAATGTTTCAATACAGAAAAGGTTAATTTGATTAACTCTTAAATTTGGACTACGCTATCCTGACAGTACCTACCTAGAAAAAACTAAACGATGTTTTGAAAACTTAACAATATTGTTTTTACGCTTGTTTCAACTTTTTTTCTGTAGGTTTAAATTTATAAAAAAAAATTGCCAATTTTGATAATTCTCATTTTTAATTTAATATTTTTTTCTCTTAATTTAAAGTGCAATCTAATGAAAGTTATAATTTAAAATTAATTTTAACTAATAATAAAAAAATGTCAATAAAGTCCCTGTTTAACAAATGATGTTATAATAAATAAACGAGAGCGACTCAATATTATTTAGGTTTAATAGTCAATTTTGTTCTAATTTCGTTGACAAATCTCAATTTAGTCTCTCGTTTTAAAAGTATTTGAAATATATTCTCATTTTTAAAATAGGTTTAATAGCCAATTTAGTCCCCACTTTGGTTGAAAAATCTCAATTTAGTCCCTCGTTATAAAAGTGTTTTAAATTAGTCCTAACTTTTAAAATAGTGGGTCAGATTGGTCCCTTTCGTTAAATATAAGTTAACGAAATTAATGGATGATGATGTGACACAGCTTAAAGCTGATGTGTTAGATTGGTCCCTCGTTAGCTTTAAGTTGTGTCACATCATCATCCATTAATTTTGTTAACTTATATTTAACAGAAAGGACCAATCTGACCCACTATTTTAAAAGTTAGGACTAATTCAAAACACTTTTATAACGAGAGACTAAATTGAGATTTTTCAACCAAAGTGAGGACTAAATTGGCTATTAAACCTTTAAAATTTTGAATCAAATTAGTCCCTTCCATTAAATATAACCAAACGACATTAATGCTGTCAGATCATCATCCATTAACACTGTTTGATTTGATTATATTTATCGGAAGTTGAAATTTATCAACATGGATAAAAATGACTATTAAACCTATTATTTATTATCCCACTGCGAGACGTGGAGAACGTCTTTTATTTAGGTGCATAAAAGATTTAGTATACTGCCATTAACCACCAATACCAGTATATTAATAAAAATTTCTGTTTTCAAATTTTAAAAAAATCCGGTGATAAAAAAATTAATGCTCAGGACTATCTTTTATCCTATATATAAGATGTAAATAAAATAAAATGTGTTCTAACTATAAAAATCATTAGATCAAATTCAAATGCATCAAAAGTTAACCTCTTTACATACTCTTAATTTATTGTAAAACTCATTTTCTGAGAAAGTAAGAACATTTATTGAATTATACAACTAAAACTTATTCTAGAATTATAAATGCCATCTTTAAATATAACCAAACCGATTAAACCAATAAGTTTCAAAGATATTTTTCAAATACAAATTAAATATAGGAAATTAAATAAGCTAGTTTCTTTTATTAATCTTAGGGTTACTGATCACCACATGACTTAGCAATAAAAACATAGGATGTAAACTGCACTACTACTACTGACATCTATTACATTCAAAACCTATTACCAGATAATTAGTCCCCCACTTTTCTTTGCATTAGAAGAACGACACATAAAGCATAGGGCTCATCCAGTAGCAGCAGGATGCAAGATAATGACTCCATGCACACATTAATTACATCACATGGTCTGACACTCCAAAAAAACACACTACCATGCAGCAAAGGCAATGAAACACAGCCCTCTAATCAGTCTAGTCCTACTAACTGACGCCTTAACAACATGACATAGCCCTCCAACAACTACAATTACTTAAATAAAAACAAAAGTAAGGAGTGGCCTTTATTAATCTTGCACTGGCTTTTATTGAACACAAGGCAAATCATACATTGATGCTTCAATGCTCCCAATGTCCAAGTCTCAGTACTAAGATCTATCATTAAATACACTTCACGTCGTGTCTTTGCAACTTCCCGTGTGAGCGACTGCTAACGAAGCCTGATACAAATTCCGTTGGGGATCATTGTCCCCAAGCACAGGCGGCCCTGTAGCACATTTGACAGAACATAGAGATGACAAACGTGTTAAAATTACATCAATAGTAGATTAGACAACATAAACAATTACATATTTGAAGTTGGAGAGAACAGAAACAAATGAAGCTAAATGACAGACGCGTACTGTACCTTGAAATTTTCACTCCTCTCCTTCACAGTAACTGAATTTTGTATATTGTTATAAACTCTATATCAATCAGATTTTAGGGAAATACTTGACAGTTGACACCCCGAAGCACAAGCAAGTACATGACAACACGATCACAACATACCATAACAAACTGATAAAACATAGCATTATTAAGTTTACACCTAAAATTATTATAAATAAAATACACGCCTTCGTAGGAGATATATCAAAAATAACCAACGGAAGAAATAACTTGACACCATTTTTTTGTCTTCATTACGTTATGGAAATGATTCCAACGTCAACTTTTACAAAAAAAAAAAATCTAGTAACCGAAGTATAAGTTGAGCTTCAGAAGACGGATCACATAAGGAAACCACTAAATAGACACGTGAATAATAATATAATTACCAGGCTACCAAACTAAACACTAGCTATTAACAGGCAGAGAAGCAATTTTCCAAAATATGATGAGAAAAGACGAAATTCCAAAAATATAACCACCTTGAAGGTCCAATGATCACATCAGATCAATGAATGAAAAGTGAGATCCATACACTGCTACTACATCAAGCCCATCGACGACTAAAAGGCCACACTGACCTAACAAAGCAAAGTTCTCCTGCCGCTCACTAATCACCCGAGGCGTCTTAAGGGGGGATTTGGATAAATCAAAAATAGTTTCCAATTCAAGTCACCATCTAGCAACTCGCAATAAATAAACAACACAACAATAGACCTTGAGCATCTCTTATGCATCAACTCCTCATATGTTGTAACCACAAGTTATTTTCACTACCTTGTCTATTTTAAAAGAAAAAATCAATTTAATGAACATAGGAACCAGTCCTGCCTTCAAATGAACTCGTAGCCTAAGTATAAAATAATATACATAAAAAAATTTAAGTTTCAATGATAAATCAAGATCCTCGCATCTCTTCTTCCAATGCAAACCATGCAATGGTAGTATATAGTTCATCCTAGAAGCTTCCAAGCATTGACTTATTAAACTGTACATACCCACTGTCTATTATGTTTAATGGGGAGTGTTGGCTTATTCCCTTCAAGATAAACAAGGCAACAATGATCTCCTCTCAACACTTCTTTTGGGGGGAAGATAGCTTAATTGACGCAGCAATTCTTTCAATCCCAGCAGCACAAATCATATAGTGACCATTCCATGTTTAGGTAATCAGTTTTACTTAATAGCATCACCACTTGAAGTTTCGGTGATACTAGTTCAATTCTTAAATATCATTCCATACTTTTCTATATAATTATTGGTTTCATCCTTTTTCACACCCACGTACTAGTAATGCAAGAAAATGCCAGCAAGTGTTTCTTCCCTCGTACAACCTATATATACTATATACAATTTGAGAGACGTCAAATTTTCCCCTCAATTCATACACTGCATAACAAGAGAACCAAAAAGAGTGCATCAGTTAATCACATGCAACATATCTTGTCACCATAGATGACCAAGACACAAAAGGCACTGGTTTTCTTCCTCATTAGACAGAGAAAGCTAGGTTTCACATGACATCTTAGCCATCAGGAATTCTACATCGCATTATTTTAAGTATCATCTGCCAAAAACACTGACACAAAAAAGTTTTAACTTAATTGTCCTTTTTGTCCCCTTTGTATATCAATCATGTGATTTTAACCCCTCAAGTTTTAATTGTGCCAAGCGGATCCTTCTGAAATTACAATTGTTTAATTTTAGTTCCCTGTGTTCTAATTGTGCATATTGTGTGGTTTTAGTTGTCATAAGTCAATGTTTCATCAACTAATTCCAATTAATGAGAGGATTAAAACCACACAATTACAATATCCAGAGGATTCAATTGACACAAATGAAGCCTACGAGACTAAAGTCGCACATTTACCATGCTTGAAAACCCAATTACCACAGTTGGAACTCGAGGGAGTAAAATCATACAATTCTGATATTGGAAGACCAAAAGTGTCTTACGTTATTCCTTTTCTTTTTCAAATTAGCTTGCAGAAAAAGAGAAAGGAGCAGCAAAAAAATGTCTCAAAGAGTTATAAGTTCAACGACCAGTCAACTTAATGGAAATTGAACAAAGATTAAAAGAAAGTGCATATCTCTCCCCGAGGTACGAAGGCTTTCCTAATCTGGGAAAAAGAAAGAATACAGCACCACGTCTTCACGAGACGAAAGTGCATATCTCTCCCCGAATAATCACCAAGCGACGGTATACAATTGCTCATCAGCAGCATTTTCCATATTCAAAAAGTAAACCTTTGATTATACATTTTCGTATACAAAATTCATTTAATTTTAAATAAAACAATGAAAGTAAAAGACGAAATTAATCATCACATACATATTCTAAATGTGAAGAATTTCATTTAATACTACCACTTTACAAGGGATCAAATCACCACATAAACCATTAAATCAAGCATATGAAAAGCTTCGGAGCCAGTAATGTCTTACCCGAGATTAAACATACTATTTATGGGGTCCAGAAGCTGCGGCTGTGGAGGATGTTGCTGTTGCTGCTGTTGCTCATGTTGTTGGTGCTGGTGGTGATGCTGCTGCTGCTGCAAGCCGGCACCAGTGGCTACTGCCACAGCACTAGAAGGAGTTCCTTTGGCTTCAACAAATCTCCACATATACCACGACGCAACAGAACGATAAGGCCTCCACTTCTCACACAATTGGTCCATCTGCGACGGCCGCGGCAAGTCCTCGAGGTTATAAAGAAGCTGAACCCCTTTCCTCACACCCAAATCATTGATGGGGAGAACATCGGGTCTGTGGAGGGAAAAAATCATGAACATGTGAACAGACCAAGAGCCAATTCCATTGACCATGGTTAGCATAGTGAAGAGTGACTTATCATCCATGTTCACAATGGCCGAATCGGACAGTATCCCGTTCTGTTACTTCCTCGCCAAATCGTGAAGGTAACTCGCCTTCCGCCCCGAAACCCCAATTTGGCGAAGCTGTTGGGGAGTCNATCAAAAGTTAACCTCTTTACATACTCTTAATTTATTGTAAAACTCATTTTCTGAGAAAGTAAGAACATTTATTGAATTATACAACTAAAACTTATTCTAGAATTATAAATGCCATCTTTAAATATAACCAAACCGATTAAACCAATAAGTTTCAAAGATATTTTTCAAATACAAATTAAATATAGGAAATTAAATAAGCTAGTTTCTTTTATTAATCTTAGGGTTACTGATCACCACATGACTTAGCAATAAAAACATAGGATGTAAACTGCACTACTACTACTGACATCTATTACATTCAAAACCTATTACCAGATAATTAGTCCCCCACTTTTCTTTGCATTAGAAGAACGACACATAAAGCATAGGGCTCATCCAGTAGCAGCAGGATGCAAGATAATGACTCCATGCACACATTAATTACATCACATGGTCTGACACTCCAAAAAAACACACTACCATGCAGCAAAGGCAATGAAACACAGCCCTCTAATCAGTCTAGTCCTACTAACTGACGCCTTAACAACATGACATAGCCCTCCAACAACTACAATTACTTAAATAAAAACAAAAGTAAGGAGTGGCCTTTATTAATCTTGCACTGGCTTTTATTGAACACAAGGCAAATCATACATTGATGCTTCAATGCTCCCAATGTCCAAGTCTCAGTACTAAGATCTATCATTAAATACACTTCACGTCGTGTCTTTGCAACTTCCCGTGTGAGCGACTGCTAACGAAGCCTGATACAAATTCCGTTGGGGATCATTGTCCCCAAGCACAGGCGGCCCTGTAGCACATTTGACAGAACATAGAGATGACAAACGTGTTAAAATTACATCAATAGTAGATTAGACAACATAAACAATTACATATTTGAAGTTGGAGAGAACAGAAACAAATGAAGCTAAATGACAGACGCGTACTGTACCTTGAAATTTTCACTCCTCTCCTTCACAGTAACTGAATTTTGTATATTGTTATAAACTCTATATCAATCAGATTTTAGGGAAATACTTGACAGTTGACACCCCGAAGCACAAGCAAGTACATGACAACACGATCACAACATACCATAACAAACTGATAAAACATAGCATTATTAAGTTTACACCTAAAATTATTATAAATAAAATACACGCCTTCGTAGGAGATATATCAAAAATAACCAACGGAAGAAATAACTTGACACCATTTTTTTGTCTTCATTACGTTATGGAAATGATTCCAACGTCAACTTTTACAAAAAAAAAAAATCTAGTAACCGAAGTATAAGTTGAGCTTCAGAAGACGGATCACATAAGGAAACCACTAAATAGACACGTGAATAATAATATAATTACCAGGCTACCAAACTAAACACTAGCTATTAACAGGCAGAGAAGCAATTTTCCAAAATATGATGAGAAAAGACGAAATTCCAAAAATATAACCACCTTGAAGGTCCAATGATCACATCAGATCAATGAATGAAAAGTGAGATCCATACACTGCTACTACATCAAGCCCATCGACGACTAAAAGGCCACACTGACCTAACAAAGCAAAGTTCTCCTGCCGCTCACTAATCACCCGAGGCGTCTTAAGGGGGGATTTGGATAAATCAAAAATAGTTTCCAATTCAAGTCACCATCTAGCAACTCGCAATAAATAAACAACACAACAATAGACCTTGAGCATCTCTTATGCATCAACTCCTCATATGTTGTAACCACAAGTTATTTTCACTACCTTGTCTATTTTAAAAGAAAAAATCAATTTAATGAACATAGGAACCAGTCCTGCCTTCAAATGAACTCGTAGCCTAAGTATAAAATAATATACATAAAAAAATTTAAGTTTCAATGATAAATCAAGATCCTCGCATCTCTTCTTCCAATGCAAACCATGCAATGGTAGTATATAGTTCATCCTAGAAGCTTCCAAGCATTGACTTATTAAACTGTACATACCCACTGTCTATTATGTTTAATGGGGAGTGTTGGCTTATTCCCTTCAAGATAAACAAGGCAACAATGATCTCCTCTCAACACTTCTTTTGGGGGGAAGATAGCTTAATTGACGCAGCAATTCTTTCAATCCCAGCAGCACAAATCATATAGTGACCATTCCATGTTTAGGTAATCAGTTTTACTTAATAGCATCACCACTTGAAGTTTCGGTGATACTAGTTCAATTCTTAAATATCATTCCATACTTTTCTATATAATTATTGGTTTCATCCTTTTTCACACCCACGTACTAGTAATGCAAGAAAATGCCAGCAAGTGTTTCTTCCCTCGTACAACCTATATATACTATATACAATTTGAGAGACGTCAAATTTTCCCCTCAATTCATACACTGCATAACAAGAGAACCAAAAAGAGTGCATCAGTTAATCACATGCAACATATCTTGTCACCATAGATGACCAAGACACAAAAGGCACTGGTTTTCTTCCTCATTAGACAGAGAAAGCTAGGTTTCACATGACATCTTAGCCATCAGGAATTCTACATCGCATTATTTTAAGTATCATCTGCCAAAAACACTGACACAAAAAAGTTTTAACTTAATTGTCCTTTTTGTCCCCTTTGTATAACAATCATGTGATTTTAACCCCTCAAGTTTTAATTGTGCCAAGCGGATCCTTCTGAAATTACAATTGTTTAATTTTAGTTCCCTGTGTTCTAATTGTGCATATTGTGTGGTTTTAGTTGTCATAAGTCAATGTTTCATCAACTAATTCCAATTAATGAGAGGATTAAAACCACACAATTACAATATCCAGAGGATTCAATTGACACAAATGAAGCCTACGAGACTAAAGTCGCACATTTACCATGCTTGAAAACCCAATTACCACAGTTGGAACTCGAGGGAGTAAAATCATACAATTCTGATATTGGAAGACCAAAAGTGTCTTACGTTATTCCTTTTCTTTTTCAAATTAGCTTGCAGAAAAAGAGAAAGGAGCAGCAAAAAAATGTCTCAAAGAGTTATAAGTTCAACGACCAGTCAACTTAATGGAAATTGAACAAAGATTAAAAGAAAGTGCATATCTCTCCCCGAGGTACGAAGGCTTTCCTAATCTGGGAAAAAGAAAGAATACAGCACCACGTCTTCACGAGACGAAAGTGCATATCTCTCCCCGAATAATCACCAAGCGACGGTATACAATTGCTCATCAGCAGCATTTTCCATATTCAAAAAGTAAACCTTTGATTATACATTTTCGTATACAAAATTCATTTAATTTTAAATAAAACAATGAAAGTAAAAGACGAAATTAATCATCACATACATATTCTAAATGTGAAGAATTTCATTTAATACTACCACTTTACAAGGGATCAAATCACCACATAAACCATTAAATCAAGCATATGAAAAGCTTCGGAGCCAGTAATGTCTTACCCGAGATTAAACATACTATTTATGGGGTCCAGAAGCTGCGGCTGTGGAGGATGTTGCTGTTGCTGCTGTTGCTCATGTTGTTGGTGCTGGTGGTGATGCTGCTGCTGCTGCAAGCCGGCACCAGTGGCTACTGCCACAGCACTAGAAGGAGTTCCTTTGGCTTCAACAAATCTCCACATATACCACGACGCAACAGAACGATAAGGCCTCCACTTCTCACACAATTGGTCCATCTGCGACGGCCGCGGCAAGTCCTCGAGGTTATAAAGAAGCTGAACCCCTTTCCTCACACCCAAATCATTGATGGGGAGAACATCGGGTCTGTGGAGGGAAAAAATCATGAACATGTGAACAGACCAAGAGCCAATTCCATTGACCATGGTTAGCATAGTGAAGAGTGACTTATCATCCATGTTCACAATGGCCGAATCGGACAGTATCCCGTTCTGGTACTTCCTCGCCAAATCGTGAAGGTAACTCGCCTTCCGCCCCGAAACCCCAATTTGGCGAAGCTGTTGGGGAGTCAAAGCGAGAACGGTTTCGGGAACGACGCCGTTTTCGCCACCGCAGAGCGCGATGAAGCGCGTGTAGATGGAGGTGCCTGCTTTGTACGCGAGTTGCTGGTACAAGATGCTACGCGTTAGGGCGAGGAAGGGAGTGTGGAAATTGTCGAAGGTTGGGGGTTGGTGAATGTCGATAAGAGGAGAGAGAAGAGGGTCCGCGTTCCTGAGAAATCGGAGCGCGATCTCCACCTCGCCTTCACACGAGAGTGAACGCGCCACTAAGCGCGGCACCACCGCCATGGCTCGCGAAGGCGGAACATGCTTGGTGCTCCGACCGCCGCTCTTGCCCGGTTTAGAGGGTTCGGTTAGGGATTCGGATGTGGAAGGGTCCGGTGAGACCTTCCGGATCTTACGGGGACGGAGGGGGATTTTGGAGGCAGGGGAGTTTACGTGCGGAAGGACATTGTTTAGTTCTGAGTCCGCCTGAGCGCCGTCGGGGCCAGCGGCGGAGGAGGAGGGAGCTGGGTGGGGTTGAGGTTCGATTAGGGATTGTGCTTGACCTAGCGTGTGTTCGCCCATAAGTGTGAGGTTGAATTGGAGATTGAGGAAAGTGAACGAGTTGAAGTGAAATGAATGTAATGTGATGATGTTGACGATGACAATGGTTGAAACTCACTCTCCTTTAATCCAACTGCTTCTAATCATTTATTTCTTCATTCTCTCTTCAGTTTCGCTGCTTTTCTTCTTCCTCTTGTTGGTCTTCGTCTTGGATCCTACTTTGGTGTGGGTTTTCTTATTTCTTTCTCACACGCCATCTCGCAATGCGTGCTGCACGTGAACCTTTACATTCCTGTTGGCCCAAACGATAAGCCCAACATCTCTCTGTTTTTTCTAAACGCGCCTCTATTATTTTGAAAAGTGTTCTTTTTACAAAATTAACCTTGGCGTCACTTGTATATTCCCTACAAGTTACTTTCTTTTTAAAAAAAAAATTAATTGAAATTTAATTAATTAATAATTAAGTTTTCTTTCCACAGTAATTGAATTAACATGATACAAATTATAAAAAATTACTATACTTACCCTATCTTATATCTCAGTTATTATCTTATATACAGTAGAGATTATTATCTTCTATAATTAAAAATTAATTACTTTGCCGTAGTAGATAACAGAAACAACTCAGTCAAACATCTTTAATATTTTTATTAATTATTAGCTACTATTTATCTATTCTCCGTAACTTCATATGATAAAAATAATAAGAATTACTGATATGAATAAAAACATATAAAAATTAGACTACAAAAACATTCACAAGATGTGAACAAATTCTTGAACATGTCCAACAATGTGCTTTCAGAAAGATGGAAAGAAGCTGGGCAATTGTTTCTTGCACTGTATCACTGTAGTTTCTGAAATACCAATTATATTCATAATAAAAGAAATAAAATTTTTGTTTTTTATTTTTCAATTTAAGTTTTGAATTATGTAATTTATCCATCTTCTAAATTATATAATTAAAAAAATGTTATAATTTTATATTTTAAATTAGGATTTTAGGTTATTTTCTAATAAGGAGTAATTAAATCACGAAGACTACGGGTGCAAGAAGAAAACATGGGATACAAGAAAAAGAAAAAGAAATAAGGGATGAGCATGTTGTGAAAGCGACTTAAAGAATCAAAACAACAGCTCCCTAGAAATGAAACAATATGAATGGCCTTATTTTAGAATGTAAATTTTATAAAATGCAATTAGCTAAGTCATTTTCTATAAAGGTTGTTCTGTTTTGCAGCTTTTAGGAGATATTTTTGGAGCTGAGAACTTTTTCTTTTGGGTTCAGTCATTAACTTTGTGCAATGATATTTTTCTAATGATGGGCCATTATCAATTGTCATAGCTATTTAACCAAAAATTAAAATATTTCATTCCAGGCATAAAAATTATTTCGACTAATTTACAGTCTTTCAAAAAGAAGTTAAAAAGAAAAAATAAACCATCACTATAATCAAATATAGTTATATATATTATACTTAATAAGTATTATGTTTCTTTTGTACTCTATATTTTTTCAGCTTTTTGATAAATTGCCGTCGTATATAGTTTTTTTGGAGTTCATTATTTATTGATAATATTGTAATTTATTCATTATTGTTGAATTTTACTTAGTTATTTTCCCTCTTAATAATTTTGTTCTAATAGTAATTTCCCAAATAAATACTTTTGTATTTTCCCCGTATAGTATTTCATATTAAATATTGCTTGCTCGCAAAAAGACCAATATCTTCAACGGGAAACCAAACACTGTATCATGTCAGATTGATCCTTACTTCAAGGCTTAGTTACATATTAAAACGTTATTGAATGTTTTCAAGTGTATGTGTTATGCATGAATTGAATTAGGTAATTCTCTATTTAATCACAAAGGTTTACTAATTTCTTTCTTTGTATTTAACTAATTATTGAAAGATTGGTATAAATTATTTTTAAATTTTCATCCAAGTAAACGTGGTATATATGGATTTGACATAAGTGTGTTGACTTTTTATAATAATACTTTAAAAGCTACAGTACTATAATGATTTCTACTCAGTTGATTTCCTAACAAATTTAAATTTAAAACAAAAGCCCATAAAAATTGTTTTATGTTCAAGCATAAATAGAGCATTTAATCACAGCACTTTTTTTTTTTACATATACATGATGTATAAACTATTCAATAACAAATAAATAAATTATGGTTGTTTGATGTAGCTTTTGCGGAATATTTTTTTTAAATTGTCAGAATAGATTTTTAAAATATAATGTCAAACTCTTTATCTTAAGCCAAAATTATATATGTGAATAAACACATATAAAATAAAATGATATTATACTAACCTTAAGGCCATATTTAAAGAAAAATATTTACATTTTATGAAATAAGAGTTTCCTAAATTGTATATGAACTAAAATGACTAACCTTAGTTAATTGAATCTTGATGATGTCACTTTGAATATGAATAAGTTATATTTAAAGAAAATATTCATATTGTATGCCTTAAAATTTTCCTATATTTATATATATACACGAAATATAACTATATTAAAATTTAGTATTTATGGGCTATTTCATTTTAAAATTATTTTAAATTTAAGAAATTGTATATCAAACTAAGCCCAAGTGTAAGAAGTTTATGAATTCAAAATCTGTGGTCCAAGTTTTAGCATTCTTAATGTTATTTTCGTTGATTTCATTGTATAAGACTTCATATTTGTTTATTAATCATCCTTTTATTTTCCGTTAGTAAAATTCTCTGTTATTCAAAATATATATGAAAAAGACAAGATAAAATTAGTAAATACAAATTTTAATATATATAAATTTGTTTTGTGAGCTTCTGAAGTAATATTAAAGCTTAAAAAACTGTATGGAGAGAGAAAACAAAAGTTGATATTGAAAGGCTTTATATATGTTTTACTATTGAGCGGTTGGCCCCTCTTTGGACACTTTGATCTTTACATTTATGGAAACAGAAACAGAAACAGAAACAGAAACACAAAGCACTGATGCTTCGCATATATATGGAAAGAAATAAAAAGCAAATAAAATATTTCATAGTACCAATCCAAGCATCCACCATATTACTGCTAAATCAACCTCACTGCAGACTCAGACCCTTCATCCTGCATTATCATAATCACAATCACACTCAACCAAGAAAAACAACAATCAAACACCACAATAATCTTCATATACATAGCTACTTCTTCTGTTTGTATAAAACCAATTTTGATTTTCAATCTTATCTTTTAAGGTTATTTAAGAAGAAGAACGAGTTAGCAAATAATAATAACCTGTTTTCTTCGTTGATGTAACCGTAACCTCTGATGCTGCTTGCCATGGTTGAAACAGTTCGGTAATTGGGAAGGGGCACGTGGCCTTCCTCGATCTGCTTGACATCTTCGACGAGCTTCTGATAATGTCTTTTGACGTCTTCGACAGTTTTTCCTCCGACGGCTCTGGCCAGGTTGTGCCACCTATCTGGGGTGTCCTCGTCGAAGATGGCAAGGGCATTCTCAAATCTTTTGTTCTGCTTCGGTGTCCAACCCTGGCTTGAGGCCATTGTTAGTGTACCTACCAAGCAACACTTATGAGAATAAAGCGTTGTTACAATAGAGCTTTGATGAGGGAAGTAACATCGGTGCCCTTTATATACTAGTGGGGTAGTTGAGGCTGTGTTGTGTTATATACTTGATGCTCATGCTAGCCGTTGCTTTCCGGACAAAACAGTGGGACACATTCTGAAATTCCTAGATACGGACGTGGTTTTCTTTAACTTTTAATTGTGCATGTCTTTTTTTAAATTGACTTAAAGTTTAATCAACCTCCATGAAATATGTAATCAATTCTAACGCGGATATATTGCCTTAATCTAGGAAGGTGTGGTGAATTTCACTAATTCTTGTGAATTCCTTGTCACATCACATGCATGCCTCCAGTTACTGAATTTTAGTGCCATTTTTTTGGACAGAATTTAGCACATAACAACGTTTTTATCTGTTGATGTGATGATCCTCGTGGAGTTTCTTGTTCACGCTATCAGTTCCCACACCCCACCCCTGTACCGCCATCAATATAACGCCTTGAACTACGGATCTAAACTGAACTAAACTATTGGTTGAGATAGACGCAAACTGGCACCATCTCACATTGTGCAAAACAATTATGCAAAGAAAAACTATGTCTAGCACGTTTGGAAACGGATAAGGTCACCAGGAACATGATTTTTCACATCCAATTAAACGCTTACTTCTTATAACTTTTTATAACTTTTTACGTTTTTTTTTTATTTGTTGTTTGTGGAACGTTTGATGTCTTCACCCCACGAAAGAAATGTCTGTAGATGATTAAACGAGTTTCTTCAACCCAAAATCCGGGAACTCATGACAGCCAAGATTTTGACGGCCGTTAAAAATGCTTCAATACGGTGGAAAGATCTTTGGAAGGAACGTGGAAGGGACAACCTTAATAAGTTGTTTGACAGTGAGGTGGATAGGAAATAGGAAAAGTTCAAAAACACTATATTTTGGTTGGATAGGTGATTTGGGAAAAAACTTTGGTAAAGGAGTTCAAAAGATTGTATCTTTTCTCAGAACAAAAACAAGATAAGTGGAGAACAAAGGAGGGTGGGTAGGAGAGATGAAAATGGAGGCATTCTGATGATATTCTGCAACATATCAAATGCTGTTGGTGGTCATCCAATCATAGGATTAATCCGCTGTGTTACCACTCTTGTTATACAATGGGGTTTTCATCAGGGTCGTGTCTATGTCAATGGTGTTAGAAGATTTTACACAAAAGTTTGATTCAAGGTTAAGTATACATTTGTGTATTTAGTTATTTTTATGACATTTTTAAGCACTGTTATTTATATAATTAATGTCAACAAACAGAGGCACAAATTCTTAAATTTTTGGTAGGCTATCAAATTCTTAAATAGAGGCACAAATAGGATAATGGCGCATCATACATAAAATTATATAAAAACTCATAACGCATAACAAATATCAAATTGATTCCTGTAAATTCAGATTAAAATTGTGCTTCTTGAACATATTACATAAGCAAAACAAAAATTATAAAGCATTGCATTACAAATCACTCTACATTATCAGCAACTAGAACTGATATCAGTTTTGTTTACTCCTACCATTCAAAAAGAGAAGAGTTTCTATCTTTGTACGTTTCTGTTACGGATTATATTAGATTTTGGTAACTTTTTAGAGGCTTTAGATGAAGCAAGAGAAAAAAATCTGTGCGAACTGC